GGAGGGGGTGGCTGCTATTACTATGTTAAAAGCACTACGACTGTGATGGAAAACAATCAGAAGAGCAGGCTGGGAGGTTGTGCTAGGATGCATCTACCCTCCTTAGCCTCAAAACATAGCCACCCAGCGACCGGCATCTGCAGTTTACCCCACTGGGTCCCCTCACATTGGCCCTGGAGATGATGCAGAGATACATCCTTCTGCAGTCTGCACCCACTCTCTGACATGTACACTCAGGGGAAGCTGAGGCAATAGAGCTTCCCTGCTGCATAGGGGTCTGTGTTTCTACAAGAGCCCAGATCATTTCTATGTGCATTAAAGTTTAAGAAGTACTGCAATATGCATTTAAACATATAGCTATGGACCTTCTTTTAGGCCAGGGAGCTTTGTCGTGTGTACTCTCTAGGTTTATCAGAGCCCCAGATATACTACCTCAGGCTTTCGCTTACATCTAGGCCTTTGTACATCTGCCTGTAATACCCTTTTTGCCGTCTCCCCAGACCACGCTGCCTGGCTAACACATGCTTCAATTGTCAGCTTAGTTCACATTAAAATTGTATTGTGATCACTCAGGGTTTTAAAAATACTCATTCCCAGGCTTTATCCCAGCCCAATTGAATCAGTATCTCTGAGGGTGGGGCCACAGCATCAGTCAGGTTTAAAAGTGCTCTGAGTGATTCTAATGTGCAGCCCAGGTATGATCATCTGGTTCTCAAACTTTAGCATATATCTGAACCACTTACAGAGCTATTAAAACACAGATTTCTGTGCCTTATCCCCAGAATTTCAGGATTAATAAGTTTGGCTTAATAGGTCTGAGAATTTTCACTTTTAATAGTCTTTCAGGGTTTGCTGATGTTTCTAATCCAGGTACTTTGAGAATGACTGGCTTAAAAATTGTCTTCTTCCAGGAAGCCTCCCCTGATCTAGTCCTTTCTTTCCACCCCCAGATAGAGTCAGTTGTCCCTTCCATGTTCTGTCATAGCAACCTATATTTTCTACTCCACTATAAATTGCCTGATTATTTGTCTGTGTTCTCCACCAGGCAATATTGAGAACAAGGACCTTGCCTGTGTCATTCATTGATGTGTCCCTAATACAGTCCATGTCATATACATATCCTCAGTAAATATTCTTTAATGAACAAATTTATATATGGAAGGTATTTATTTTGCTCTGTGTGTGTGTGTGTGTGTGTGTGTGAGAGAGAGAGAGAGAGAGATTATCCAATTATTTTTTATTCAGGAGGATCCAGTGAAAAGAAATCAGCAGAGTCTAGAGACCTGATTAAAGGAGAGTGATAGGAGCATTAAGCTCCACTTTGCATTCAGGTGATGAGCTGTGTGGAAGCGACAGATTCTATCTGCTTTCTTTGCCAACTTAAGCAGTTTAAAACCATCCAGGTAAAACAAGTGTTTTCTCAGCCTTTAAATCTGTGAAGTGATAACAATTCAAGTAACATTACTGAGAAAAATTCCCGAGAATTTTTGCCTTTGACTCCATTGGGGAATTTAGTGACAATCACACAATACTGTTTTATTCCTCTGACTTTTGATTGTCAACATTCTGGGTAAGTGTTATACAATGCTGAGATTTCTTAAGTTTTTTGTTTTGTTTTGTTTTGTTTTGTTTTGTTTTGTTTTGTTTTGTTTTGTTTCTGATAGACTCAACTTCCAACATCTATTACCCAGACTTTTTCTCTACTAACAATGCCCCTGCAAAAGTTTCTCAAGATTTACCTCCTCCAGGAAGTCCTCCTGAACTGTTCATATATATTAGTTTCCTGAGACTGCTGTAACAAATTACTGCAAACTCAGTGGCTTAAAGCCACATGAGTTCATTATCTTCCAGTAGGTCAGAAGTCTGCCACTAGGAGAAATCAAGTTGTAACAGGGCTGCAATCCCTTCTGAAGACTCTAGGGGAGAATCTATTTTTATTTATTTATTTATTTATTTAGCCTTTTCCAGCTTCTAAAAGTATCTCACATCCCTTGATTCATGGTGCCTTCCCCCATCTTCAAAACCAACAATGTTCCATCTCTCTGACTATTCTTCCATAGCCACATCTCCCTCTGACTCTCTCCTTCTACCTTCCTCTTCTGCTTTTTAAGGACTGTATGATTACATGGTCCTGCTTGGATAGCCCAGGATGATCTCCCCATTTTAAAGTCAGTTGATTAACAACCTAAATTCCCCCTTGCTATGTAACCTAACATATTCCCAGGCTCTGAGGATTAGGATGTGGACTCTCTGGGAAGCTGTTATTCAGCATACCATACAACCCACACCCCAAGTTATCTAGTGGTTATCAGCTTTATATCCTCAATTTCTTATTCCATAGCAGCCAGTAATCTAGTGCCTTTAACTGTAGATTAGAAATCATCAACCCCAGCTGCACAGGGGAATCACCTGGGAGGCTTTGAAAACTATTGATGTTATAGATGAAAAAGGGGCCACATATTAAATGTGACAAGCTCAGTGGAGGCCTGCATGGTGTGTCTTACAAACTCAGAGACTGAAAGTAACTACATGGGATGGTCTGAACATAAAAATTCCTAAAAATGAAGTCATTGTGGGTAGTCACATCCTAGGCCTCCAGCTTCCTTGACAAAGGTCAATCTTTGCCTGTCTATTGTCTTTTTGCATCTAAGATAACTAACATACCTTTGAAATGTCAGTAATCTTTTCCAGATCCCTCAGGGTACANCTATTGTCTTTTTGCATCTAAGATAACTAACATACCTTTGAAATGTCAGTGTAATCTTTTCCAGATCCCTCAGGGTACACCCCATGGCACCAGAGCCTAGAGACCACAGAACCCCTCATTGTTACCTTGTTGCCCACATATCATCTCTGTGTGCTGTAAGTGGTAATTAGTAACTATCTTGTAGCCAATGTAAAAGGAGCATGTGTCTCTCCATGAGGATACAGCAAGGAGTGGCTGCCTGCAAGCCAGGAAGAAGGTCCTGCTCACTTTATGGTATTTCGGACAACAGCCTGAACAGACTAATGCAATGGTAGTGCTGGAAAAGGAAGACTTTAGGGATCAATCTAATTCCATCTCCTTATTTTACTGAGTGTTACCGAGGACCAAGTAGTTCAACATCCTGCTTGGGCTAAGAGAGCTGCTTAGAAGCAGAGCCAGGACTAGAGCTCAGCTCTCCGTCATTTATTCATCTATGGGTCACTCGCTATGCTCAGGTAGGCATTCTGCCTACCCGAGACGTATAAGGCAAGATCCCTGCCCCTAAGTTGCTCATGGCCTGGTCATTATAATACAAAGAGACAAATGTGGTGATTGAGAAAAACATCTGGTATTGTACTAGTTGAGATGCAATATGGTGTCATGACTATAACCTGGATTCTCAGCCTTGCTGTGGTAGGTTAAACATGGCCACCAATTCTTTGCCACTCCTCCCAATGAGAGATCAGGTCTAGGTTCCCTCTCCTCGAATCTAGAAGAGCTCCGTGACTTCCTGAGCAATAAAAGACAGCAGAAGTGACACCATGACAGTTTCTGAGACCAGGCCTGAGGAGATCGGCAGCTTTCGCTTCTTGTCTTTTGGAATACACGCTCTTGGAACCTAGCGATCATGCTGTGAGGACACCCAGGCAGCCACATGACGCCCACATGAAAAAGAATGGAGAGCTCTGGCTGATAGCCCAGTTACCAGCCACATGAACGAGCCATCATGAAAATAGATTCTCTAGCCCCAACCAAGCCAGCATAGCTGATGTCATGTGGAAGAGTTAAGCTGTTTCTGCCTAAATTCCTGACCCACAA